TGAAAAGGGATTTTTTTTACGATTTGTGCAGTCATAAGACAAGAGCAGAAAAAAAGGATTCTCTAAAGGATGAATTGGCATTGAAATGGATACATATAATTTTTTTCTTCTTCATTTTCAATTTGAAAATTGGTTGGTTGGTATATTTATGGTTGGTCGTTGTGTTTTTTATTGTTATCTATATTGACTGTCTCGTCACTTTCGTGAGATAGTGCACAGGGTTTTTCTTGGTAACTTTAAAATGATGACAAGTTTTAGGAAAAAAAACATGGGCAATGGAAAATTTATTCGTGTGAATGACACGCCCATTTTTCGAAAAGGGCATTTAATAAAAATTATGATGAAGGACTTTACTAGATTCCATTTTATGATCAAGTTTTTACTATGGACCATTTCGATGAAAAAATAAATAAATAAAAAATATAAAAAACAAAACGTGAAATTTCTTAAATCGAAAAGGACCTTTATATGGGATGTAAGGACCTTTATAGGATGTGAAAAATAACTATCGAATTACAGACACTCAGGTTAGAAAACTGGGAAAGGAACCTCAACAAAATCTCAAAACTCGGCGTGACCATTTGGAAGGCTAAAGCCATCAAAATACCGAAAATGGGTCGGAACACGGGGGCTACGTCAAAACATGGACCTATATAAAAATATTTTCTGCAAAAATATATGTTTCACCCTCCAAAAACCGGGAACGTTATATTACAGTCACATTGATAAGAAATTCCGAAAATGGTCTAGGATCATTTTGTGGTGGTCATATGTCGGAAATTTTGTGCAGATATTTTCACCATCTTAGAAACCGGAATGCAAAGTTGTAGCCACTTCGTTAAAAAGATCCGTTAACACATTCAAAATATTTTGCAATTGTGTTTCTCAGCCTCGAAGTTTCCGGAATGCCTTCAGAATACCGAAAATGGGACAGGATGCTGTGTAAAAACTTCGATCAGTATAGAACATTTTCTATAAAGATCTTGTTCGCCGTTCAAGAACCCAGAACAGCCCTTTGTCGAGAATGTCATACTACAATGTATCTTTAGCCACCCGGATACCTAGAATAGGAAGCGGCAGTTGTATGCGGGCTGATAATAGCAATTGGAGTTCAGAGGCTCTGTTTTGGAACCTTCGGAATATTTGGAACCTATAGAATATAGAATGATCGTCCCTAAAAGGTCCAAGTTAATTGTTATGCAAGTCTTTGCAAGTCTTTGGGCTGATAATAGCAATTGGAGTTCAGAGGCTCTGTTTAGGAATCTTCGGAATATTTGGAACCTATAGAATGTAGAATGATCGTCCCTAAAAAGTCCAAGTTAATTGTTATGCAAGTTTTTGGAAGGATATTCATATTAATTAGAGATTCCTTGAATGAATATTTTCAAAAATCCGATATTTCTTGAAAAAATATTTTCAAAAATCCCATATTTCTTCAAAAAATATTTTCAAAAATCCGATATTTCTTGAAAAAATATTTTCAAAAATCCGATATTTCTTGAAAAAATATTTTCAAAAATCCACGATATTTCCTTGAAAAAATATTTTCAAAAATCCACGACATTTCTTGAAAAAATATTTAAAATTCCACGCCTTGTTTTTTGAAAAAATATTCTTTAATAAAACCACGCCTTGTTCTAGTCCTTGAAAAAAGATTCTTTAAGAAATCCACGCCTTGTTCTAGTCCTTGAAAAAAGATTCTTTAAGAAATCCACGCCTTGTTCTAGTCCTTGAAAAAAGATTCTTTAAGAAATCCACGCCTTGTTCTAGTCCTTGAAAAAATATTCTTTAAAAAATCCACGCCTTCTTCTAGTCCTTGAAAAAATATTCTTTAAAAATCCACGCCTTGTGTTGGTCCTTGAAAAAATATTCTTTAAAAAATCCACGCCTTGTGTTGGTCCTTGAAAAAATATTCTTTAAAAAATCCACGCCTTGTGTTGGTCCTTGAAAAAATATTCTTTAAAAAATCCACGCCTTGTGTTGGTCCTTGAAAAAATATTCTTTAAAAAATTCACGCCTTGTGTTGGTCCTTGAAAAAATATTCTTTAAAAAATCCACGCCTTGTTCTAGTCCTTGAAAAAATATTCTTTAAAAAATCCACGCCTTGTTCTAGTCCTTGAAAAAATATTCTTTAAGAAATCCACGCCTTTTTCTAGTCCTTGAAAAAATATTCTTTAAGAAATCCACGCCTTGTTCTAGTTCTTGAAAAAATATTCTTTAAGAAATCCACGCCTTGTTCAAGTCCTTGAAAAAATATTCTTTAAGAAATCCACGCCTTGTTCAAGTCCTTGAAAAAATATTCTTTAAGAAATCCACGCCTTGTTCTAGTCCTTGAAAAAATATTCTTTAAGAAATCCACGCCTTGTTCTAGACCTTGAAAATATATACTTTAAAAAATCCACGCCTTATATTAGTCCTTGAAAAAATATACTTTAAAAAATCCACGCCTTGTGTTAGTCCTTGAAAAATTATTCTTTAAAAAATCCACGCCTTGTATTAGACCTTGAAAAAAATATTCTTTAAGAAATCCACGCCTTGTTCTAGTCCTTGAAAAAATATTCTTTAAGAAATCCACGCCTTGTTCTAGTCCTTGAAAAAATATTCTTTAAGAAATCCACGCCTTTTTCTAGTCCTTGAAAAAATATTCTTTAAGAAATCCACGCCTTGTTCTAGTCCTTGAAAAAATATTCTTTAAGAAATCCACGCCTTGTTCAAGTCCTTGAAAAATATTCTTTAAGAAATCCACGCCTTGTTCAAGTCCTTGAAAAAATATTCTTTAAGAAATCCACGCCTTGTTCTAGTCCTTGAAAAAATATTCTTTAAAAAATCCACGCCTTGTTCTAGTCCTTGAAAAAATATTCTTTAAGAAATCCACGCCTTTTTCTAGTCCTTGAAAAAATATTCTTTAAGAAATCCACGCCTTGTTCTAGTCCTTGAAAAAATATTCTTTAAGAAATCCACGCCTTGTTCAAGTCCTTGAAAAAATATTCTTTAAGAAATCCACGCCTTGTTCAAGTCCTTGAAAAAATATTCTTTAAGAAATCCACGCCTTGTTCAAGTCCTTGAAAAAATATTCTTTAAGAAATCCACGACTTGTTCTAGACCTTGAAAATATATACTTTAAAAAATCCACGCCTTATATTAGTCCTTGAATAAATATACTTTAAAAAATTCACGCCTTATATTAGTCCTTGAAAAAATATACTTTAAAAAATCCACGCCTTGTGTTAGTCCTTGAAAAATTATTCTTTAAAAAATCCACGCCTTGTGTTAGTCTTTGAAAAAATATTCTTTAAAAAATCCACGCCTTGTATTAGACCTTGAAAAAAATATTCTTTAAGAAATCCACGCCTTGTTCTAGTCCTTGAAAAAATATTCTTTAAGAAATCCACGCCTTGTTCTAGTCCTTGAAAAAATATTCCTTAAGAGATCCACGCCTTGTTCTAGTCCTTGAAAAAATATTCTTTAAGAAATCCACGCCTTGTGTTAGTCCTTAAAAAAATATTCTTTAAAAAATCCACGCCTTGTGTTAGTTCTTGAAAAAATATTCTTTAAAAAATCCACGCCTTGTGTTAGTTCTTGAAAAAATATTCTTTAAGAAATCCACTATTTGAGTGCTTAAAAATATTTTAAAAAAATCCACAAACATAAAAAAAAAATTCTTCCACTGAATAAAATTCCATTGTTAAGCCTTCGAGCACTTGTTTTAAATTGTTTTTCTTTTCGTTTCCTTTAAGATTTATAGCCTAGATTAGCTGTCTGATCTTTATGGGGAATTCCACCCAAATAATTTGTCTGCAAAAATAGATAAGAAAGACGAAATAAAAATAATCAAAAACGTCTAAGGGGAAACTACATGTTTTACTACAAAACAAGACAAAAACAAAAGGCAAGGAAAAAAGTAGCAACTTCGTTCTGGATCATAGACCAGGAGACCCACTTAAACACACATACACACGTATACTCTGTAAATTCGAAAAAATCAAATATATAAAGCCAATGTATGAGTGTGACCTCGTTAAAACCATACTGCGTAGCATTTAAAAGGATACGAAACTACGACAATGGCAAATTTTAGGCAATGATGCCTGTCTGTGCATGTATGTGTGTCTGCTTGTGTGTGTTTGTTATGCCATTATTATGCTAAACAAGAGGGTTGTTAATGTGTGACCCCCCTCCTCTAGATCTTCACAATAGTGGAGGAATCTTTGTCGTCCTATGCTCTGCTGTTGGTGGCAGCTTGTCTGCTACCACACATAACACTTCGAGTCCACCGAGACGTTTCACATAAAATGCGTTACGCATTTTAATACAAAAACAAAAAAACAATCATAAAACTGCCAGCAACAACAACAATTGTAATGAGAATAACAACAACAGCATTTAACCGACCGAGTGAATAGTCCCAGCCAATCGGAATTCTGTTGTGAAAAAAAGCGCAAAAAATTAAAATGCGTAATAACAAAAACAATGAAACAGGACACGCACAATCTTCACATCCTTGCAAGAAATAGTTTGCCATAAATTCACAGTTCATGTGTTGTTGTAATAAAACAAAAATCAAGGAGAGAGAGGAAAAACATAATAACGACAAAGCTCAACTAAAAACCCAAAAATCTGTTTCAAGTGTGTCCCCGTTCGGTTCGGTGTATTTGTGTGTGTGTGCATGTGTGATTAAAAGTGTCATAAATAAAGCTAATGGGTTCTGAAGTGCCATATAAGCGATTTTTATTACATTCCCCCTCACTACTCTCTTTTAGGAAAAATCTAAGAAAACAAAGAAGAACAAGAAAAATAATATTGACTAATCCCAAAATTGTTCCCCCGCCCCTCGTTCAAAAATTAATCCAAACTTATGTGACTGCTTATCCTGAAACGCTCAATAAATAAAAAGTGTAATTCCAATTGGAGAGAAAAGCCCTCCCTCAGAAAGAAAACTAAACTCTCCAGAGAGGGCTAAGTGCTTGAAAATTCTAAAACAACAACAACAATATCAGCAACAACAATAACACCATGGATAGCTCTCCGGATCTATCCTTGAAATTAAGACGTGGTTCGAGCGACTCACGTGATAATTTCTATATGGATTTTGCTCAAGGCATTGATTCCGATATCGAAGAGGTGGATAATACGGCGCTGGATCAGGCCACAGCACCTCCATTGCCGCTGGTGGGGGATGGTATGGATTATATGGTCATACCGCCACCTCCACCACCCTCAGTTATGACCATAATGCAACAACAGCAGACAATGGGCTTACCCACTGTTAGCGAACACGATGATACACCTCCAACACCACCGCCACAAATGACCAGCTTGCCCTCGCCACCGGTTTCGCCAACAACCTCCGTCTTAGAAATGATGCCACCGCCACCTTTGTCTCCACCACCACCAACAACCACAACATCTTCATCCTCTACACATTCCAATCGAGTTCTGCCACAGCCACCTTCTCCACCCTTGGAAACTGAAGATGAGGAGGATGATGATGATATCGAAGAGGAGGAGGAAGAAGATGCTGCCGATGCCGATATTGAAACAACCGATAATGTGGAGGAAACTCCCGATGAAGAAACCGATGGCAAAGAAACCGACGACAAAGAGACCGAGGGCGAGGATGACAATGATGGTGATGATGAGGGTGATAAAGATTCACCACCTCCACCATTGCCACCCATACCCTCACACCTGGCCTATAATCGTCCACAATCCAATCACGAAGATGATGACGATGAGGATGACAGCCACTTGCCCAAGCCAATGCAGGGCCAGACTCCCTCAACATCACCCTCACCACCTGTAACACCCCCACCTTGTCCGGAACTAAGTTCCATACAAAAAATTGTTTCACCACCGCCAACACATGTCTCACAGATACCACCTTTAACCCCACCCTCGGAGAGTGATCAGTCTCAGCCCAACTCTCCACCACCTATATCGAAACATTCGCCACTAACCATGCCTTCAACACCGCCACCACCACCCGAATGTGATGTGGTCGATGATGAACAACCTCCCACTCCACCACCGGAATTTGATCAACAAGACGAACCCGAAGGCGAAGAAGAAGTCAAACCCAAACAAGATGAAGAAGAAGATGAACCGGAAATCGATTTATCCGGTGTTTCCGGAGAACCCTCAATGGATTTGGTACAAGAAGTTCTACAGGAGGCGGCCCAGAAGGCCATAAATGGTGAGGAAAATAAATCTTCGCGGGATGATGATTCCACCACTATTACCACACCACCAACCAATGGCTACTCCGCCTCTTCCATGTATAATCATCAAGCTGAAGAACCCATGGATGAGGCTGACCAAGAACAACTAATGGCCAATATACCACCACCAGCTGGGCTAGAAGATCCCATAGAAGATGAAGATGGTACCAAGACACCAGTTTCCGAAACGAAACCCTTAGATTTAGATGAACTCTCCTTAGATCGTGTGCCACCTCCACCACTTGAAGAGGGCGCCGAGGAGGAGGATAATGAAAAGCGAACTTCATTGCCAGGGACACCAACATCACAAGTCTCGCAATTGTCACAGCCGACACCAACACCCACGGTGTCCGGATCACCAAAACGCAAAAGTAGTGTTACAAGTGCCACTGCACCCGGTGGAGGAGGTGGTAGTAGTCGTGTTCCTAGTCGTAGTGTCAGTCGCAGTGGCAGCCGCACAGCCAGTCGTAGTGGTAGCATACGTGGTGGTGGTAGTATTAGTTCAAGGGCTGGCAGTATTGCAGCAGCTTCAGTGGCATCGGCAGCCGCATCCATTGTCTCCGCATCACAATCTGTTAAGGCCGAGGTCGTTACCTCTCCACCAATTTCATTGAAATCGATACGCAGTCCTCCCGGCTCAATACGCTCGCATACATCGAAGCATAGTCCTTCGCTGTCACAAAAAAGTCATCATACCATTTCGGCGGAGGCAAAGGCTAGTCCCACACAGTCTAATGGTTCTGTGGCTGCACCCGGACGTTTACAAAGTCCTCAGGAGGGTGATAGTCCACCGGCAATGCCTTCACCACCAATTATACGTAGTCCACCACAGGTGAAGAGTCCACCATCAATGCACAGTCCACCACGTGTCACCAGTCCCCCGAAAGTCTATAGTCCCCAGTTGATTAGCAGTCCACCAATGCGTCAAGACGATATTGATCCCGAGAAGGCAGAGAAACCGTAAGTACACTAGCATAATTTTTAAATTATTTGAAATTTTTACAAACGTGGGATATATGATAATGGATAATATATTGATTAGGAAAAATGTCTAGATATTCCACTTGAGAAAATACGGTATCGCTTTCATTTTCAAAAAAGAAAAAATGCCTTTGTGGACCAGATATACCAAACTTTATTTCTTCGCCTTGAAAGTTATTAATTTGTTGGGCTCTAAATGTTTGATTTAAACCACCCTTGCGTATAAGAAATGCCAGTAGTTATACGCCACAAGGAATGGCTTTAGTACATTTCGTAGGCTTTTATGAATAAAATTCTGAATTAAATTTTACTTACTTACTTACTTAGCTGGCTTGTGACACAATTTTCGTTCCATAAGCCGAGCTTAAAAAGATTTCCAAGCTCGTCGGTCTTGTGCGCATCTCTTTCAATTTGAAAGACCATGTTCGGAGATGTTGTCACAGCTACTCCGAATTTTAAAACTGATGTCACTAGTTTTATTTATGGCGGTACCAATGTATATAAAATATTTAACTACCTCGAACCTGTAGTTCTCAAGTTCCACAGTTGTTCCGAGTCTACTGGACGTCTTGCGCGTTGATATCATCAGCTTGATCTTCTTGCCATTTACTGCCAGACCCACTTTGGCAGACTCCTTCTCAATTAGTTCAAAGGTGGCTGTTACCATTCGCAATGTTCGACTCATTATATCGATGTCGTCGGCGTAGGCGAGAAAGATGTGTTGTTTGGTGTACAGAGTGTCATTTCTGTTCTCCTTTGCGTCTCGTACAACCTCTTCCTGCAGGATGTTTACAACAAAACAAAACGACAAAATGTCACCTTGTCTGAATCCTCGTTCGGTTTTGAAGGGATCCGATATGTCCTTTCCGACGCTAAGTGTTGAACTTATGCCACTTAAAGTAATCCTGCATAGCCATATTATTTTGCAGGAATGCCGAAAGCAGACATGGTTTTAAACACCTCTGAACGGAAAGGGCTGTCGAATGCGGTTTATAGTCGATAAATATGTGGTATGTGTCGATGTGTTTTTCGTGAGTCTTTTCCAGGATTTGACGCAGAGTGAAAATCTGGTCTATGGTGGATTTGCCAGGTCTGAAGCCGCATTGGTATGGTTTAAAATTGTCATTGACCATTGGCTTCAGTCGTTTACACAGCACGCTGGATATCGCTTTATATGCGATGGTACGAAGACTAATTCCTCTATAGTTGACACATACCGTCTTGTCTCCATTTTTGTGCACGGGACACAGAATGCTGAGGTTCCAATCATTGGGCATCCATTCCTCTAGCCAAATTGTATTAATGACCTGGTGCATGCTCCTTACCTACATCTGACCACCAGTCTTGAATAGTTCGGCTGGTAACCGATCGGCTCCTGCAGCTTTATTACTCTTCAGCCGATTGATTGCTATTCTGACTTCATCTTGGCTAGGTGACTCTATACCGTCATCTATTATTGGTTCTGGGGTATCCTCTTCATCGCTAGTATTTGATACCAGAAGTTTTTCAAAATACTTCTTCCAGATCTTCATCACGCTGTCTGTATCTGTCACGAGGTTTGCACCAAAGCCTTCGGTTTTACCCGTTGGTAAAATTTTCGGACTTCATTCTGACTTCTGTACATCTCGATTTGCTCACGCTTTTCTTGTTCTTTCTTCTTTTTTTTTTTTGAAAACACGTTATCTCCTTTTCTCCCGATAATTCTCCATCGCATTACGTGTTGTTACTGTCCGCAGGGTTGCCCTATGCGTTTTTCATATTAGTAGCATTACGACACTCCTGATCGTACCACGGATTTCTTGATGGTGGTCTTTGGTACCCAAGTGTTGCTTTTGCTCCAGTTTGTAGGGTGTGGGTAATTCTCTGTCATTGTGCTTCTATATTATTATCTGGACAAGGAGTGCCTTCGTCAAGCAGTTGGGTAAGTTGAGCGGAGTAGGCTTCTGCTATCTGTGGTGTGTGCAGCTTTTCGACGTCGAGTTTCCGTGTTACAATAGATCGCACCTTTGCTGCTACATTAAGACAAGTGCGAACCTTGGCTGCTACAAGGTAGTGGTCCGAATCCATATTCGCTCCTCGGATCGATCGAACGTCTAAAACTCTAGATGAATGCCTTCCGTCTCTCACAACATGATCGATTTGATTTCTTGTTGTTCGATCGGGAGAAATCCAAGTGGCCTTGTGTATATGGAGATACTTGAATCTATTGCTGCTAACTGCGCGCATTCAAAGGGGTCGTCAACATTAGGGGGTTTGGTTTTCTATTTCTTTGCCTTACCCGACGCCTCAACCCATTTTTTATTGTTCTTATGGATGAACTCGCGGCACATATTCGCTATGATCTTAATCTTTGAAAGTTATAATTTTTTAGGCTCCAGATCTTTGACTAGACAACGGTACGTATAAGACAGCAAATCTGTGTTTGTAGTTGTATATTTTTTATTTAGTTTATTTAGCATAAACCTTAGGGCAAAGTAAAATAATATTCTCCAACCTCTGTTTCTAATAGAATTATTCATTCAAAGTAAGACAATATTCTCTTTCCTCAAAATTGAGCTTCATTACCCCATATAAGCCAACAATTAGCAAGCTTCCACATGGTGCACCATGCTCCCCACATAAAAACTTAATACCTGAACAAATATCGGTATGGGGTCCGATTTAAGCCCTGGTAATCATTTTACAAATTAAGTAATGCCTTAAATAAACAATTACCAAAATATCATACTACTATTTTAAAATACAACTGACTGTCCGTGTGTCTGTCTTTCCTTCGGTCTACCCACAAAAGTTTCATAAATCCTTTCGTGTTATTAAATTCTCTGTAATTGCTACTAATCGTGTGCGGCTGGCTGGCTCAATGGATGGAAGGTTGCTGTTGATATTTGAACAACCCCAAATTACAGTAAACAGCAAAGGCAGCAATAACAACAACATCAGTGGAAACACAGTCGAATGTCAAGAACGTTTAGCCATTTATTTAATATATAAGTTAGAGATAAACTCGGTGACTTTACGTCTGTCTCGACATCAGTTGAAAATGTGCTAATGACTATTTGCATGGTTATGTAGGAAGAGAAAGAGAGCAAACACGGAAGGCCGCAAGGGGTAGATGAAATAAAAATTGATTTAAATATGTCTCGCCGCCTATAGTCGTCGACATTGACCAATGTTATTTCATTGTGGTTTATTTAATTTTGATGAGTTTTTTTCTGACATTTCACTTTAAATGAAAATATTAAATCAAAATCGCTTTACCGCAAATTTGTGGTAAAAAGAAATAAAATTAAAACAATTTTTATTGCATACATTTAGGCTCTATTAGAAAATGGAAATTGGAATAATATTTTTAAATTTATAAAATTAAAATGCACAAGGCGTGGATTTGTTAAAGAATATTTTTTAGTACTTTCATAAAGGATTTTGAAAATAATAATTTTTGAGGATCTTCAAAAATGGGATTTTTTCAAAGATCTTTAAAAAGGGGATTTTTAAAGAATTTTTTTCAAAGACCTTCAAAAAGGAGATTTTTAAAGGATTTTTTCAAGAACCTTAAAAAGGGTGTTTTTAAAGGACCTTTAAAAGTTCAGATTTTTTAACTCATATTTTAGTAAAGGTCCTTAAAAAGGAAGCGAGTCATATTTTAAAAAGTCCAAGCTATATCAATCGTGTCAAAAAATAAATACAATAGAATTCAAAGTAATAAGTTGACACCATCTGCATCATGCCCATCAATCTGTACATTATATAATCTCTTGAATGATATCCGCATTCAAAAGGAAAAGGCCAGTAACATTAACAGCTCATCAACAGTTGTAGTAACAAGCTTACAATTTGCTTGAACTTAAAGTTTATTGAACCAAAAAAACAGAGGAAGGCATCGAATGCGTCAACGTCGTCCTTTTGTCGTCTGTGTATTTGTATGTATGTGTGTGTGAAATTATATCATAATGAAGTGACTCGGTTAAAACCATGTCAATGTACGTCGTCTGTCAATATGACATAAAATTACAGGAGTTAAAATGTTGGTGATTATACCGGGTTTTTTTCTTGTAGTCCTTTTTTTTCAAAATAAAAATAGTTTTTTTCTCACAATCAATTCAAAAGTGAAGAGACTTTCTATCCCCTGTTCCTTTGAATTCACCTTTTTTCTCGCAAGTCCACGAAGTCATTGCACTCTCTAGCCATTCATTCATGATTGGTGTTGGTGCGGCTATACTGGCGCAGAAAAATAAAAAAACATACAGAAGAACAGAACTGCCTGATGGAAAGAGATAGCTAGTTACCGAGTGACAGTTAGTCAGTCGGAAAGTCAGCAAAGCAAAACCTTTGCCAGATGATGATGACGACGATGATGGTTATCATCGTCATCATAAGCCTGTCACGGAACCAAAACAACTACCATGAACCTGGTGACTGACTATCTAGCTACCTAGCCAGCCAGCTAGCTACATATGACGGTCCGCCGCTCGTTTATTCGTTCATTCATTCATAGTTGGCTTCGACTAAAGTTATTTATTATTTATGTGTGGCAGTGAGGTGGGTATGGTGCTGCTGGTATTCCCCGACAATCCAGCCAGTCACACATTCATTGGTTGTAATGAAAAGAATTATCCTTTTTCCCACTATTGGTGGTGGTGGTAAGAGAAAAATAGGCTTTCCTGTGTGAAAAGCCCTTTCCTTCTGCTGCGGCAGGTTGAGTTCATTCATTTTGCGCTTACAGCTCGGCTGAAGTTGTGCAAACATTTCAAGTGTTATTGTGAGTCAATGCAGATATAGACGTCAGTGGGTTAGTAACAACGTTACAACTACACTCATCTCGGACCGGACAGACATAATTACAATTGCTGTGTTCTTGTTTTTTATGTTGTTTATTAAAGCCAATGATATTTTCCCATTATATATTCAGGTTGAAAATGGCCGCCTAAATGTAGGCAATATTTCTTCTATTTTTTTTATAGAGCCTTAATATGGGCTAC